CATTTTATTTGTTACTTTGTTTGTAGTCAAATTGAGGAAATGTGTATAATTTCATTTTAAAAAGCTTAAGCGTCTTTTTTCAAACACCTAAAGGTATGCTACGCGTTTTATATTGAACTTAAGCAGTTAAAGAGAGAATGAAAGAGAGAAGTTTGATGTCTAAGTTAATGAGTATACAACTCTTAAGTAATTGCTTGAACGTTATTTACAACACCCTAAGGTATACTACATATTTTAAATTAATTTTTTGAAAATTTAAAAGTTAATAAAAGAGAAAATTTTGGAATTAAAGCAAATATGCATATGAATAACGTTTATCTGGGGCATAATGTCTTAAACAACTGGTTTTAAAAGCTTTTTTAGAACGCCTTAAGGTATGCTTTAGATTTTAAAAAGAATTTAAGTAGTTAAAGAGAGAATGAAAGAGAAAATGTTGTGTTAGCTAATGAGTACACAATGTTTAACAGCTTATGTGTATGTTGTCAGTTGTCGATCATTGCTTGGTTGTTGTTTACAACACCTTAAGTTATACTATACATTTTAAATCAATATTTAAGCAGTTAAAAGGAGAGAATGAAAGAGAAAGTTTAAGTTTTAAGCCAAAAAATACATAAATCTCAATAGTAAGTGTATATTTTGCTATTAGTAAGTAAATGCTTAGGTGTTCTTTACAACACCTTAAGTTATGCAATAGAAAATGGAAAGCTAAGATCTATAAATATGTTTCTTTTAATAAAAAAACTTAAACATTTTCTAAAAAAATAAAAATTTAAATTTAAAGTTCAAAGTTTATTAAATAAACTACAAAAATGTTATTTATTTTTAACTCCAGTCAAAAGATTATTTAAAATTTCAAAAAAAATTTATGTCAAACTGTATATAAATTGCTAATTTTTTTCTTGTTGTTATTTTCAGTTTCTTTCTAAATTATTTATTGATTGAGTTAAAACAACAAAAAAAATATGTATAATAAAATAAACGTCAGCAAAAATTTAAATAAATGACAAACCTCAACAAAAAAACTGAAGTAAAAAAAATTTAAGTTCCAAAAAAATAAATAAATATCAGATTACACCTTAAAAATCAAAATTGACTAACCGAAACAAAAAGCTTAAAAAAATTGTTTGAAAAAAATGCCAAAAAATATACAATAATTTGCTTTTATTTTTTATAAAACTTTTTGAGTTTCACATTAATAGCTGACACCTGTTGACACTTTTTTTTTTGCGTGTGTAATTTATACAAACCGACAGACGTACAGCTAAAGCAAATGAAATGCAAAATAAATATTTAAAAAAAATATAAGGGGTTGTATTGAATTTTGTAATGAATTTTTAACACATTTCTTTACAATTTACTTAAACGAAATGAAAAAAATAAAAATTTTAACGAAATGCAAAAATTTCAAAGAAAACAAAAAATTAAATAAACATTAAATAAATTGGCACATTGACTTATCGAATTTCAACAAAAAAAGGAGCAAAAAAATTTTTAAAGAAAAATATTGTATTTTTTATTAATTAAAAAGAAACCTTTGGAAAAATGTTTTAAAAATTTAGAAACTATATTTATTTTTAATAGATATTAACAGTTAAGATATAAATTACATACTTTTTGGAGGAAGAGAAAGAGAGAGGGAGAGAGAGAGAAAAAAAGGTTTTTAAACTTTTTAAGGTCGTTTCGTTTGTTTTAAAGAAACATTTTAAAGTGTCATTTAAAAAAAAAAATCAGCAACAATTTATGAGTTTTTAATTTGTTACGATTTTATGGAGTAAATTTATTCATTATATTTAAATTAAGTTCATTCAACGTTTTAATTATAATGAATTAAATTGTGAGTGTGTGTGTGTAAATGTTGATAATTTCGAAAGTTTATTAACAAAATAATAATTAATTTAAAAGCAGAAAATAAAAATTTTATGAAGTATAGAAAAAAAAGCCGCCTTAAAGTTGGTTATACATTCTAAAGCCTAAAGCTAGGCTATAGATTTTAATTTATATCTAAACCAGAGAGAAAGACAACAACTAAGCATTACTGACATATTAATTAACACATAAGCAAGAGAGAAAAACGGTACATTTACATTTCCTTTACATTTCATTCTATATATATAGGAAAAAAAAAGCCGCCTTAAAGTTGGTTATGCATTCTAAAGCCTAAAGCTAGGCTATAGATTTTAATTTATACTTAAACCAGAGATAAAGACAACTACTAAGCATTACTAACATATTAATTAACACATAAGCAAGAGAGAAAAACTGTAAATTCACATTTCCTTTTCTATCCGAAAAAAATTTGTTATTTATTTCAATTTTTTTTTTAATTATTTATTTTAATTTAATTTCCATTTCCCCATAATTGCTATACAAAAAAACCTCATTTCATTTCATTTCATTATTAATTTTCTTTTTGATAAATAATTTTAACTTATTTCTTAAACAGATACATTGTTCCTCTCTTGGAAGCCAGCTAGCAAATGTTATTATTTGTTTATAAAATGTTTTATTATTATTATTATTTTTGTTAAGTGGGTGTTTATTATTTTAATTTCAATATTATTTTTTTGTTGCGCTTTTTCAAATAATAAACAGGTGTTGTTGGGTTTTTTTAACGTATACAATTGTTTGGCTTTTTTTTCTATAGTTTAAACTTTATAATTGTTTAAATTGATTGCTTAATTTAGGTGTAATTTTTATGGTCATGTGTGTTTATTTAAATGTGTTTTTTTATAGTCGAATTAATAGTATAAATAGTTGTCTAGACTTTTGCTTAACAAATTTCCCAAAAAAAAAATTTTAATAATTTTAAAGTGCAAAAAGTTTATTAGAATAAAATTTAAATGCCGTCGGCTTTAAACAGAAATTTTTGTTAAATAAAGATCTTCTTTTCATAGTTTCTAAAACAAGATTTAGCTAAACGATCGGTAATAGTAATAGAGATCTTTATAAAGTTCTAAAACAGAATCTCAGTTAATAACGTTCGTCTTTAGAATTGCTGATCTTTATGCATAGTATTACAAAATATCAATTAATACCGATCGTAATGATCTCTAAAAGTAATATTGTGATCTTTAAAAACTATTATATTTGTATAAATGATCACAGTCCATTTTGATCACTAAAAGGCTGAAGGAAGGAAGATTTAATTGATAAAAGGCCGTCGAATTACTATTTGCAAAAATTTTATTAAAAAGATCACAAATGAAGATCATCTAATTGCAATAGGTTCTAAAATTATAACATATCAAAAAAAGCTGATCTTTAAAAACTTATAGAATATTTGTGAAAACTATCCCTCTCTATGCTGATCACTAAAACGCTTTGGATCTTAAGATTGCAAATTTTTTAATATTTATTTTAAAGTTTAAAAAGTTCACAAATGAAGATCACTTAGTACTAAAGTAAAGATCAACTAACTTATGCCATTTCACTACTAAAACAAAGTTGCTGATCTTTAGAAACTAATGCAGGGTTTGTAAAAGTGATCACTCTATACTATATTGATCGCTAAAACGTTTACGATCTTTAGATTAGAAATTTTGTATGTTTTATTTGTTTTAGAAAATATCACAAATGAAGATCACTTAATACCGATCGTGTCGTAAATAATTACTGATCACTACTAGATAAAACTTAGAAACTCAGGGAAGATTTGTGCAAATGATCACTCTGTATATTGATCGCTAAAATGCTTTCGTAAACTATCACTGCTAAGTTTTTTGGAATAGAAAAGTGATCGAAAGCACTTTGAATTAAAATTTTTTATATTTAATTTGTTTCAAGAAGTTGTTGCTTTTAAAAAGGATTACAAATGCAATTCACTTAATACCGATCGCGTACAAAATTATTACTGATCACTACTACGTAATCAAACTTAGAAATTCAGGAAAGATTTGTGATCACTCTCTATGGTTGATCGCTAAAATGCTTTCGTTCCATTCATTGGAAATTTTGTATGTAACTTTAGTTTTAATCGATCGCGTCTAAAACTATTACTAATCACTACTAGATCAAACTAAGAAACTCAAGGAAGTTTTATGCTGATCACTCACTCTGTTGATCGTTAAAACGCTTTTTTCTGTTGATGGGAAATATTTTATGTTGAAGATCGCCTAATACCGATCGCATCCAGAACTGTTACTGATCTAACTAAGAAACTCGAGGAAGTATTGTGACGATCGTTAAAACGGTTTCGTTGTATTGATGGGATATTTTGTATGCTGAAGATCACCTAATACCGATCGCATCCAGAACTATTACTGATCGAACTAAGAAACTCGAGGAAGTATTGTGACGATCGTTAAAACGGTTTCGTTCTATTGATGGGATATTTTGTATGTTTTAATTTTAATTATTTTGAAATTTTTAAATAAAATGTTTGAAATTTTTAAATAGAATTTTTTTAATTTTTAAATAAATTTTTTTTAATTTTTAAATAAAATTTTTTTAATTTTTAAATAAATTTTTTTTTAATTTTTAAATAAAATTTTTTTCATTTTTAAATAAAATTTTTTGTAATTTTTAAATAAATTTTTATTAAATTTTTTTTTTTAAGTTTTTGAATAAAATTTTTGAAGTTTTTAAATAAATTCTTTTAATTTTTTAAAAATTTTTGAAATTTTTAAATAAATTATTTAAAAATTTTAAATAATTTTTTTTTAATTTTTCAATAAATTTTTTAAAATTTAATAAAATTTTGTAAATTTTAAATTTTTTGTTAAATTTCAAGTTTTAACTTTAAAATTTGTTTTTATCAAATAAAAGCCGTCGGAAGATTCAAGTTATCTCGACTATTCAAAAGTTGTAAAGACTTAACTGAGGTCATGATCATTCCAACTTTTACATCAATATTTACTTTTTTCCTAAAATCAAGATTTTTGAAAATTTTGTCGATATTTTTTTTTTTTAAGTCATAGCAAAATCTAAAACCTCAAACTCTCTTTGCAAAATATATATAAAAAAGTAATAAAATTTCTATAAAAAAAGTTGTTTCAACTTACCTTTCATTATAATCGCCGACAATTCAGAAGCATTTAAATGCATATAAAGATTTTCCGTTGAGGCGGTAGTCGATGTTGTTAAATCAGCAGCCATATTAAAGCGAGGTATTTGTCACAATAAATATAATCCCAAAAGCTATATATAGTAGATAAATTAATCCAAAGTTTGCGCGTAATCCAAAAAATATAGGCGGTCGGTTTGTTTGATATTTAGAACAAAAAAAATATTTAGCACTTTTTGTTTATGGGGGGGTTTTTTCTTTTTGCTTTAAATTGTTTAAAGTTGTTTGTTTATATATTTAATTTTAATGGTTGTTATTAACATGAAACAACACAACACTTTAAAAATTTGTTAATATTTAAATAAATTCATAATATTTTAACATAATTGTATGTTGTTAATTTTTTTAACTTTTTCAATAATTTTTAAACACTGTTTGGATAGTATTTTTTTTAGTACAATAAATTTTAACATAAAAGTTTTTGTTTGTTAATACAAAATATTTCCGATTTTAGTTTTTTTTCAAATTATTTATTTCTTTTCTAAAGAACATGTGTTATATTAAATTTTGTCCACACGCGCTATCAACATCCGTCAGCATTTGTAGTCGTTAACGGACTGAAATGTTATCGAGCACGACTATACAACAAATGCTGTGTAAACATTTCGCACAATAATGTATGACCCGGCAAAGTAAAGAACAGTCTGCGCCCGGCTTTACCTGCAACTTCCAGCGAACACGAACATCACACCGTTGTAAACAAACAAACACACAAACCTACCATACAGTGTACAACACAAACACCCACTCGTTATGGGAAACTAAAACTCGACCCTTCAAACTCATACATGTGTTTGACTTTGCAAAGCCACATGTTGGTAATGACTCAACAAATGTTTTAAAGTGTAGTTAGTATGTTTGTTTGAATATCTTTGCATCTTCTAGTAACAAATTTGTAGATACTATGCAAATGTTGTTGTTGTTGTTGTAGTTGTTGCTTCTTCTCTTAATTGGCGCCTGCATTAAAGTCATATTTTTCCATATTGTTATTGTTGTTTTTGTAAAAGTTTTGCATTTCTCGTTTGAGGTTGCAAATCGTTCGGGCTCATACTTCGTTTTTTTCTTATATTTCTAACATTATGCCCGGTTCGTTTGAGGTTCGGGTGCTATTAATCACACCTTTTTAACGTATTCGTAACTTTTCATGTGTTTTGTTCGTGTTGAAATTTTTATGAATGAAAATTGTTTTATTGCTGCTTTATTTTGTATTTAACAGTTTGACTATAGAGATATTTTTTCTAGCATGCGATATTTTTCTGGCTTTTATATCAAAGTGCATGTGTACTTTTTCTTTGCCCCATGATTGCGTTTATTATTTAGTGTTTAGTGAATAAAATTGATAAGATAATAAACATCAACCTTTTTTGGTTATTTGTTATCTTATTATAAAATATATTGCAATTTTTTTTCTAATAAAGCCTTATTAGATTGGCGAAATTTGTTATGAAACTCTTTTTTATTCATATTAATTAGCTTTCAAAGAAAATATTAAAATTTTTATTTAAAACAGGAAACCCGGGAGACAATTCCTATTACAATCATAGTGGACACGGGCATAAATTGAAAATTATATGATAACGATTTTTCGAGATTTTTTATGATTTCCGTTTTCGATTTCAAGATATTAATCAAAAGATCTTGTTCGACAGCAACAAGTATGTACGCAAATTAGGAATATTATAACAAACAGGAAATCGGGGAAAAAATAGATAACTGTTGCTTATACATATTAATTTCATAATAATTTTTAAAAGGCCCGTATCATACAGCTCGGGTTTATTGAGCATTACAAAATTTTAAAGAATGAATATGGAGATATGGCCAATTATGGAACTATCCTCATAAAATGTGTTAGAGAGAGACTCCTCTTTTGCCAATTCATCGGTCACACAAATTCCCGTGTTCCCGTATCCATTTGAGCACGATTGTTGAATGTCTCGCCATCCTATTTAAAGATGTCCGGCATTCCTGGACTAGTGTGGATGTAGTGTATATATACAGAGATTTAATAGCAGCTTGACTATCGTTACAGATTTGAGTATCTCTATTTGATATTCTCTAGTACCAAAGCCAGTTTGCTGCTATTTTTATGGCCGATAGTTCAGCCTGTAATGGACTACATTAATATTGTATTCTGAAATTTATTTTAATCCCAAATTCAGGGTTAAAGGATTCTTGGGGAGCTGTCTTCCTCCAGTAAATAGTTTTCGGAGATGATGTAGCCGAAGTTTCTATGGAAGAAGAGTTTTGGAGTCCAGTCATTTATATGAGCTAGGAGAATAGGGATATCCTCTATAATACTCGCATGAACGTAAGGCCTGTGAGTCCATGCACCTATTGCATTGAGTCTAAAGGCAATGCCAAGTGGTAATTTTATGGCCAACAGATCAGTTTAGATCCAGTTCAGTAGTGCGAATAGAAATTTGGTTGATGTTTCACTTAGAGATCCTGTTATAAGGATTCATATCCTCCTATGGACTTTGTCAAGGAGTATAGAGTTGGAGTTTTTTTCCAGTGCTTTCCACCAGACAACCACTCCTTGGAAGAGTCTATTTAATGAAAAGAAATGAAATAAATCCAGTTTACTAGTTTGAAGTTTATACCACATCATTTGGCTATAGCTTTCCTGCAAATGTACATTGCTGTTAGGGCCTTATTCACCCTGGCCGTGATGTTGGGTTTGCATGATAGTTTATTATCAAGTATCGCACTATCCGAAAGTGAGAGTAGGACCCCGTTTAATCGAGGTAGCGTGAAGTTATCGATGTTGTATTTCCTAGTATAGAGTGCAAGCTTAGTTTTTCTCGGATTCACACTTAATCGACTTAGTGGATTAAGTGCTATTTCAAGTCTTTGTGTCATATGAAAACCAAACAGTATCAGCCATAGAACGAAAACGTACCAAAAATCCATGCTCACTTTCATATTTCTAGGTTCAATATTATAGAAAATTCAAAAGGTACCTTTTAAAGAACGAAAAAGTACCAGAAAGTCCCCTTTTATAGGTTCCCACTTAATTCGGACTCTATATGCTTAATTTCATGTTTCTAGGCAATAACACACTGGTTCATTCGTAACGTGTAGTTCTTTCTTTGCTTTGTTTGTATAAAGAAGCAGACAGACGGACGGACATAGCTTAAACAACTCCGCTATCTACAAGGACTCGTAATGACAAACGTACCCAGGAAAAAATCATGAAATATTAAAATATGCGCTATGCGTGTAAAATATGCTTTAAAAACGTGAAAATATGATGTTAAAATCAAGTCATGCAAAAATATGCTCTAAAAGCTAAAATATGCAAATATATGTATGTAATAAGAAATCGATGCCAAAATTCTTAAATTGTTCTGAAACGTATAAATATCTTCTCCATGAGTCCATACGAGCATAAAAAACATGCATTTGCATATTTTGGTTTTCCTGCTAATTAGCAATTACTATTATTGTATTTAAAAGTTATTATAAAACTACTTCTATGTCTTGAAAACGCATTGAGTTATCATTGAAAAGTATGTTGCTGGGTAAGTGAAATATTTCAAAACTAATTAAGTACTACTTATGTGGTTGCTGAGGTAATTATAATCAATTAATATGTATTTCGTTTAAAAAATTTTTAAATGTCTAATAGTTATTATTTTAAAAATATAGTAAGTACTGTGATTAAGTTTTATCTAAAATCTAGAGTCAATGCACCTTTTTCGCCATAATGTTGATAAGATATGTATACAGAGGGAAAAAGAAATATAAACGCCTGGTACCAAATTGACACCAAACTGTTTATAATTTGTCAATACCATCCGTTATCAAAGTACATATATACATATGTAATGTTGACAACATTGCAACAGTTCGTTGTCGAAATCTTATACACAACCGTTGTCTAAATGTTAACAAACGTGGTAAGCTTACTATTGACAAACAATCCGTTGCGAATTTAAAAATAACTCGAAAAGTCTAAGCCTACTCTGTAAAAAGGCATAAGGTTTACATGGACAACCAGCCAGACGGACGGACAAAGCTTAATCGATTCAGAAAATGATTCTAAACCGATTGATAAACTTTAAGATATAGGACGAATATTTTTATGTGTTACAAACATCAGCACAAACCCAGGGTATATCCTACCCACTAAAGTGGTGTAGGATATAAATTTTCGTTTGAAATTATTAGTCCTTTAAACTTTGAAGTCCTTTTATAAGGACATAAGAGCTGATTATAAAAATCGTAGTACGCAGAATTGTTATAAATGGAATCTAGTTTCACATGCATATCAACTTTTCTATGTGTGAAAGATTTTTTCCAAAATTATTACAGGTTATATTAAGATTTACATATCTAATCAAAATTCTTTGTAGATAACCCTACAATCTGTCATATGATAATCACTTTATACTCTTGACAAACTGGTTTGGGTAGGATCGAGAGTAATTACATAGAACTTTGCACAGTAGAAGTAATTCTTTATGCTACTTGCGGGAATATCTTTCCGCGTCTTCTTACGATTTTTTTGGATGAGATTATTTAAAGCAATCCAATAGAAAATCTTACAGGAAATCCAATCATGTAATCTCTACGAGATACTATTATAAGAGGGATGTATTTTTATATAAAAGTTAGTTATGCTGAATTTAATCGCGATACTAATGGTTATAAGTACATTTTTGGATGTTTAAGATATTTTTTTAAAGGGAGTTTTGGTGAGAATTTTTGGTGAGATTGTAGTATTATGAGTTAAATACCCCAAACCGGAAGGTCAGGATTTCAACCATTTTCAATAGGCATCGTCCTTGTGCCGAAAAACTCGTATGGTTCAAATTTAATCAAAATATCTTGAAAACTGTGGCCTGTAGCTTGTGCTCAAGGTTTACATGGATAATATGGACATGTCTTAATCGACTCAGGAAATGATTCTGGTCGGTATACTTCAAGGTGGTTGTAGGATCAATATTTTTATGCGTTACAAACATCAGCACAAACGCATAATACCCTCCCCACTATAGTGGTGTAAGGTATAAAAACTTGCACTTTCAGTGCATCAGCGTTATAAGACATAATTTTATATATTCTGGTATTTTTGATATAGGAGTCGATTTAGCGATATGCATATGTCCGTATTTCGTATCTATTTTGAATCGAATATAATTAAATAGAAAGAACATTGACTTGCAATAAAGTATTACAAGGCATAGACGTAATTATTAAGTAATTCGCCACGATTCCCCACAAACGTTGATTACCCCAAAATACGACCAATGACAGACAATTTATATACAATTAAAATGACCAACTAGTATTTAATTTAAATTAGTTTAAATTTTATAATACATTGTTACTTAAGACATAAGTAATAGAATTTACCCTAATATAAACCTATAAGTAAATCTGTGCTTTATTGCTTGTACTAATTTTCAGGTAGTCGAACCAAATTTTACACCCTTGGTTGACATTGTATCCTTAATAAAGCAAATTTTTACCTGAATAAAATGAAAAGTAAAATTGAAATAAGAAACATGTGTTTTTCCAAAATTTCTATCAATAAATGCAAATTTCAAAATTTAAAGAGATTT